CTTTGTTAGAATCTTCTTCTGCATCCCTCTATTTTCATTGTCTTCCATGTTGAAGAGTTTGTGTGTTTTTCCACTAAGAAACTCCACATGTCGAACACTCCTAAAGGTCTTTATTAGCTTTATGATAGATGATACAATCATTTGGATATACATCAATCCTATTATAATCAAGATCCAAAGAGAAAACAATCTTCTCAGCTTGATAAGGTATTTGGGGTATGCTAACCTCTCCTCCAAGAACTACTATCTGAAGCAAATCAAGAAATATTTTAAAATAAGTATCAACCATTCCGCTAAGTATTTTAATATGTAGGAGATTCATCATAAATAAAAATCTGGAGTACTTGGTACAACCCTCATATAGGTCTGTTTCACTATCTTCTAGTAGCTTTATTATTCGCTTTATGTTTGCGGAAGCATGCATATCTTCAAATTTTTCTACACTTTCGACATCTCCGACCTCTTCAGCATCATATTCGGTATAATTTTCAATGTCATCTCCGATATCATCTTCAACATTATCATGGATATCATATTTAGTAGAATGTGGAAAAAATATCATTGAACATTGTTTCTATGCTGTCTATCTGTCAGCCATCGGACGTACTAGCACCCACATTCGGCTCCTCATCTTTAATACAACCTTCCTCATGATATGACCAATATTTATATTTCTCATCAAACAATGAATTTATTAGGTGGATTTGTATATCATTTCTATTCTACAACTTTATATTCCTACACCAACATCAAGGACAATACATAGCACTAAATTCTTAGGATTCATTTCGGCATACCGCATGAAGGCGTCACATCCCTTCTTATATTGCATGTCATAATATATTTTAACTTGAGGAATATCTATCCATAATTTGTCAGGAATTATCCTCATCTGTAGAATATATAAAATTATTAACTACAATTAATCTCACTACTACTAGTAAATTTATGACCCTTCATGACAATATATACATAATACACATCATAGTTACGTACATGTATCATTTAACAATAAAAAAAATTTCTCTTCTAAACTAAAACTGAAACATATATAGAGAATAATTAGAACACTCTAACAACTGTTATAGAAAGGCTTCGATCCCATTAAGAATATAATAGTGCTTACATCTAACTTTAAATACTTTGCATGTTTTGATTTCATAAAAATTTCGGTAGCACCTACCCGTTGTTCTCCTTGTATAATGTGCGGATGTTATTATGCGTATTGGCAATAGACGAAAACACAGAACAACATTAGCTTATTGTACACAGAGAATGACGAGTATGTACTATCAAAATTTTAGAGAAATGAAAACATACAAGGTATAAAAAGTTGGATGTATGCACACTATATTCCTAACCCATCCGAGAATGACAGATCCAATAATTACGAATTTCAGTACCAATTCTTTCTTCTTATAATATAAAGTAAATGATCATTTTCAGGTAGAAAATTTAATCTCCTACCCAAATATGAGTCATCTATCTTATATTATAAGTCCAAAAAATTGGATGTAATTATTGAACGAGAGTCTAGGGATAACATTATCTTTTTATTCACCTAAGTTGGATATATAACACATTATTATATTATATTGCGTTATATATCACTCTATTTTTTAAAAAAAGTTTATTTCATAAATCACATATTTTCAAATCACAAACCTATAGAAACGCACATTTTCGTTATTATAGCAATTAGTATAATTTAATTTAGGATTAATTAAATTTTGGTTCACATTTAGAGTTAGAATTGATTAATAGTTTATTTGAACTATGGTTAAATTAAGTTTTGTATTAAAAGTATCGTTCAATGAGGGTAAAAATATAGTTAATTTAGGGTTTACAATTAATTTTAAGTGTTGATCAAATAGGGGGAAATATCGTCAAATTAGGGTTTGAAATTAGGGTTAATAACTGAAATGTTTTCTAGGATTATAAGATTTAAACTTTTTTATTTTGGGTTAGAATTGAGGGTATTTGCTAAAATTAAACAATAAACTACAAATTTCAAAATATTGAAATATTTCATGAAATTAATACGCACCTTAATCAGAATTGAGGCGGCAACAACACGGGGCAGCGACGACGCATGGGCGACGACAGCATAGGGAAGCGACAATAATGGCCATGGTGGCGAGGATGGGTCACATCGGTGGTGGCGTGGGGCAGCAGCTGTACGGAGGAGGTGAGGCAGGTTAGTCGATGGAATTCATCGATAGCGGTGGCGATGAAAACTTCGCACGCGTGGGGGCGGGTCGCAGGATTTTGCACGAATGATGGGGTAAGGTTAGGGTTTGGGTTTTTTGTGGAGAGTTCCACCAACCTAGACGGAAATTTTCATCTAAGTTGTGTCCTAGACAGAAATTACGTCTGTGATGGTGGGCCCACATTTTAAAAAAATAATAAAGAATCTTCCATCTAGTTCAGCAATCTAAACAGAATATCCCGTCTAGATTGCCTCAACCTAGATGGAATATTCTAGACGAAAAATTTTCATCTAGTTTGATTAAAACTAGATGGAAATTTTTCCGTCGATTATTTTTTAAAGTTTAATTAAGTAGACATAATTCATGTGAATGATTTATTACCATCATAGGCTCTCAATCCGCGAGGTTGTGGTCTAAAAAGTGCATCTTGTATGACTCTATAATCATTTGCAAATCCCTCCCATCAGGCTAGAACATACGTAAATGGCTTATTAGGAATGCACGCAGCAAGAACATTTTGAGTTACCCCTTTACGAGCTCTAACAGGTAACAAGTCTAGCGGGCATCATACATCTATCATATCAATGCAATCCTATATCATGCATTAATAAATCATTATCATTTAATATAATAATTAAGTTACATATTTTTAAGTAATTATATGAATGAATTATTACCTTGAAATAAGGACAGTACAACTGGTTGTTGGCAATCTCTTGCAACACTTCATTTGGTCCTTGCTTCATGTACCACCCCCTTAAACGACCAACAGCTTCTAAGCATTTGTTGAAGTATCTTGAAATAATTTCTCCTAATATTATAAAATGTGATCTTACAATTCTATTTTTGGTTTTATGGCCTAATATATTAAGGAACATGGTCAATTGTTCTTCTACTCTAACATCCCGTGGATCTTTTAGTAGGCTGGTATATCTCGTTGTTCTGACAAGATTTTCAAATGTGCGCGGCCTCATTCTAACATAATCCCTATAGCTCTCACTATAACCATTAAACCCATTGTTTGTATGCCTATCTCTACAATCTATCTTCTCTTTTCTCCCCTACTTAGGGTGATAAGGGATTGATTATTGTCTATAAGGTATTATCATTAAGCAAGCAAATACACTAATGGCGACAGACATAGTAGCATTGGAAGACATCCTCATTAACATTTCTTCATCAATGACATCCATCTACATTGTTATAAAAAGTTCCCTTAAAAAATACTGAGCATCGATCTTAAATCATTCATCACATCAATTATATAGCATTATGGATGGAATATATATATAAAATGCTCTCATATTGGCTCATATCAAGACAAATTAGATTAAATTTAAAGACGATGTTTAGAAGCACTAATGACTCCTTTATATAGTAGTTCACCCGATTAACTAAAATGACTTCACTAAATTAATTGAGAACCCTCAAAGTGTAAATGTTAATATCAACCATTTGTTGCAAACTAGGAGATATCAACATTTACAATTATAACTTTAGACCCCAATAATCATGATTGAATGTTTGGTGTTTAATCAGAGAATGCTCACAATGTCAAAACGATTGAATATGGTAGACAATAACACTGATGTATCAATAGTAAGTGCTGTGGCTTGAGTTGTGTTGTGCTTACTCATGAGCATGTTACTTCTATAAAGCCTTGAGGAGCAGCAATTGAACTATGCTGAGCTTGACAATATTTTATAAAAGACAGTTTAAGCAGAAGGAGAAGTACAAAGTAATAGTATAAATTCAAATTTTAGTTTACTTTATTGCTTAATTTAGGCAATAATCAACACTGTGATGATACTAATATAAATCTTTGCTGACATTTGCACATCTGCGGACCTTATTTTATGTTTGTCTTAACTTAAAAGTAAACACAAGGCTAATGTAATTCATACCCAGGTAATATGATCAAGTCCTTAACGAAATTGATTGAACAATGTGTTGCGTAAAGTTCACATACATAATTTCCGAACACCTCTTGCTTTGTACATACAGACAGTGAAATCTTGCCCGAGAGCCTAACACGAGAAGCAACAATGGCTACATCAAAAATTGACTGACTCAAAGATTTTCCCATAAACCCCTAAAGATTTCAACGAAACCCCAAACCAAGAGATTTGCATCAAACAACAACCCCTAGATTCCAAAAATAATATCAGTGGCAAATCGACAACCCTAATTAATTTCACCAATTCATTTTCACCCTAATCAATTTCAACAGAACAAAAGGAATTTTGATACCTAATCAATTTCACCTAAATCACAGCCACAAGTAAAAAATAAGGTATCCTAGACGGAAAATTCCGTCTAGGATACTCAGAATTCCGTCTAGGATGTGTATTCTAGACGGAATTCCGTCTAGAATACGCGTCTAGGAAGTTTCCGTCTTGGATGTAGTATTCTAGACGGAAATTCCGTCTAGAATACATCCTAGACGGAATATTCTAGACGAAAATTCCGTCTAGAATAATGCATCCTAGACAGAAAAAATTTCCGTCTAAGATGTGTATTCTAGACGGAATTTCCGTCTAGAATATTCATTCCGTCTAGAATATTCATCCTAGACGGAATTTCCGTCTAGGATGTTTTTTAATTTTTTAAAATTTTTTTTTTTTAAAAAATAAGCTATCTTAGACGGAATTTGAGCATCCTAGACAGAATTTCCGTCTGGAATGCTATGTTACAGTTTTTTTTTTTTTTTTTTTTTTTTTTTTTTTTTTTTTTTTTTTGAGAATCTACTTTGAGTGCATGTACACAATATTGAACAACAAATTATATTCATATCCAACACAATCTAATTATATTCCAATATCAAATCCTATTATATTCAAGTAATACATTCACCAAAATAATAGAGAGATACATAAATTGTTTACAAACTTTTACATAAATTATTTACAATGGCTATGACACTGCAGAAGCTTCTTCCAGTTGACAAAGGCTTAAAACAAGAGGGAACATAGCAGGACTCGTCTCGTTCTTTTCTTCTGATTCTGCTTCATTTTCTTCAGGCGGGTAAATAACCAGAGCTACATCATCAATGGACCGAAGCTTCCACCAGTTTCCGACCTTTCGCTGAAATCGTTTAGCCCTTGGTACATCCAACACCAACGAGGAAGTTGTCTGGAGCAACTCGACAACTAAGCTCTCCACTTCGTCGTAGTATATACGCCTCTCAATCTATTTGAGTACAAAATTGCACAAAATATGCATCAAACTGTAACTCCATTTCTGCTATCACTATATTGTTAGAAAGAATTCAACTAGTAGCCCTGCATATATAGTTAACAATTAGAGTTAACCACATCTAAACCAAAGATATGTATGTATGCTAAGAGTAGATACATATGGAAAAAAAATATTATATATAAAGTAATATCAAAAGACGGAAAGGTTTACACTAAGAGTACAGATAGAAATAATTTTGTTCTTCACTACTGATGCACCCCAGTAACCATTTAAATGCAGCAATCCTTACATCTATGAATAAATATGTACTGCTAGTTCAGAAAACCCCCACAGCTAGTTCAGAAATGCAAAAAACTAATGATTTGCAGCCTTATATTTTCAAAATTATTAAAACTAATGATTTGCAGCCTTATATGATTGATCAATAAAAACATGCACACATGGTCTGTTCGATGTCCAACGCCAGTAAGAACATAGGGGATATAAAAACACAGAGTTGGTATCACAATTGCAATTGTGTAAAATAAGGAAATTATGCAATATCTTTTTAGGGGATGTACGATCTAAATGCAAAAACAGTCCACAGCCGCACAAGCTTCCAAAAGGTAATATGTGATAATTCATGTGGTCACGGTGTTATTTGTTATGAGAGCATGTCTGTAATTTTCAACACAAACACCTAAGTTCAATGTTTTAAACCCCAAATTGACAAATATCCCAAAGAACTTCAGATTGCGTGTTTGAATTGCCATGAGAAATAAAAAATTATGTTACTAAATGACAAGACATTTTTTTTAAGTCCACAAGAACTACAATAGCATTTCAGAACAGGAATAAATAAAGAAATAAGGCATGTGAATCACTTGCACTCTAAGCAGAAAATCTGTAGTTAATAACATGACATAACAGTCCCTTAGTCCTTAATGAGAAAATATGCAACACAACAAAGCAATGGACACACACGCACACATAAACACACATAGATACATATAACAAAAGGGAAACTAAATCAAGATGAGAAAAGAACACATACCCATTTCATATTCCAAAGCTTGAAGAATCATTTCGACCTGCATTTATATGATACTGGTAAGTGATTTTCCAAATCTATATGGACCTTACTCCCCACTAAACACACATCGACTGTATATTCAAATATTAAGGGACATATAAATCAATACAAAACGTTCTTGTAACTCAACACAATTATGAATTAAAAATGAATAAATAGGGTTTCCATTCAACATGGCAATGTGATATAAATAAAGCTAAAACAAATAAATCTGTGGTTTCTCAAGGGGAAAAAAAGAAGATAAGTTAAAAAGAGGCTTAGATGATACTTTATCAAAATCCTTCACAAGACTAGCCTCTATTGAAGCATTGTTTTCATAATCTGGCCAAAGCTCCTTTACTTCATCAGCTGCACACAAAACGAAGCACAATATTAGGTAATTTCACTTTTGTAGCACACCGATGCATATACATAAAAACATTGTGTACCCCCTTGATCCTCCACCAAGGACTTCACACATTTCATTCAGAGCCGCCTGCTCACGCCTACTCTTTTCTTCTTTAGGAATTCCATCCGAGGGTGTGATATCACCAACAATAGCTATCAAAATCAAAAGCCCATTAAGCACGCAGCAGAATAGACATCAATAAAATATGTGTTCATATAGAGAAAATTATGAGAACTACATCAAGCATATGATGATCCTATATTCCTCTCTACGACAAACATACCCACCAAGTTCATTATTCATACTATTATAAAGAGTTCAAATCCCCCAATAAAAATCACCTAGACATTGAAATAAAAGAAGCCTAAAGATCCAAACTAAAAGCTCAAAATCTAGACAAATCTTTGGATCTACAAATTTAAACGACAATCAAATTGAAATCTAAGTAACAGTCAACACAAATAGATTATCAAATAGGATCTACAAATTTAAACGACAATCAAATTGAAATCTAAGTAACAGTCAACACAAATAGATTATCAAATATAAATAATCGAGAGATTAATACATTTGATCCAGCTGCTTGTTGACTTCCTCCACCTCCTCGAGATCCGTGAGGAGCTGCCGCACGAACACGCCGTAAGTAAGGGTGAATAGCTCTGGGAGCGGGGAAACCCTAGATCGGGTGTGAGAGAGAGATCAGCAGTGGTTGAAGAGAGAGGAAATCGGAGGCCGGCGCCGACGGAGGGGAGAGAAAGAGAGACAGGGGAGTAGGTGGGTGCGGTGTGGAGGAGAGGAGGCGGGAGAGGTGGTGGAGGCCGTGGAGGGAGAGGGAGTAGAGGGGGAGGGAGGGGTCGGGGGCCACTAGCGGGGGGGTAAAAGGTTGCAGGAGGCGGGAGGCCGGACTGAGGGCAGCGAGTAGGCAGCTTGTGCTAGTTGAGCGAAATTGGCGAGGGGGGAGCCGCGCGGGTTTTTACTGAAAATTTTGTTTTTTGGGGGGATAGATGGGCGGTTGGGGTTTTGACGGGTTGATTTTTTTTTTTAAATGTCCAGGTATTCCAGACGGAAATTTTCGTCTAGGATACATCCTAGACGGAAATTTCCGTCTAGGATATCTGGGAATTTTTTAAAAAAAGAAAAATAGAATATTCCGTCTAGTATACTATTCTAGACGGAAATTTCCGTGTAGAATGTTTTATCCTAGACGGAATATTCTAGACGGAAATTTCCCGTCTAGTTTAATACATTCTAGACGGAAAAAATTCCGTCTAGAATATTCCGTCTAGAATACGTGTTTTTCTACTAGTGAGCCTTTGAAACCCTAATAAAAAAGAGAGGAAATAAGAATTATCGGCGGATTTAGAGAGGTTCGAATGCCCTAGAATAGCAAGACATCTGAATAACAAAAACCCCCAAATCAATTTTCACCCAAATCAAAGCTTTTTCCTTCAGATCATCTTCCAAACCGGAGATACATCAAGAACACCAGTTATTCTCCATCTTAGGACTGAGATTTCACAAAAAAATCATCGGTTTGAGGAGAAGGTTGCTAGGATTTTGGTGCGTGATCTGGAGGAGGCGGGTAAAAGAGGAGGGAAAGAACTAGAGGAGGTGGCGAAAATAGCACTATTTTTTCATCACAAGAGGAACCACGAGTGAAGTTTTGAGGAAGTGGGTCCTGACGTGGAGCAATGTCTCGGATATAACACCTTGAGAGGATTTAGCAAATTCTAAAAAGGGGTTGTTTTTTAAAATTTAAGGATTCCTGATTCCAAAAATTTTTAGAATCAAACACAAACTATGGAATCCAATAAACAAAAAATTATCACTTTTTCATCCCAAAATTTGAAATCTCACTCAAATGCTAAAAAAATTTGTGAACCAAACAGCCCTTAAGAAGATAGACTCCTAACTTTCTGAACGCACTATTTGAAACGCTTCAAGCTCAGTTTCTTGCAAACATGCAATCTCACATTTATTTAGGATTTTTTTTTAAATCTCTCACCGCATATACTTCTTCTCATCCTCTCCAAGTCCCCTTACATTCCACGTTCCAATCATCATGATATCAAGATAAAAACACCTCACCAACAGCCCTAATATTGATGGATGACCTTATCTCCCTCCATTTGTCTAATAATATAAATTGGACCATGACGCTGTAAAGTTGCTAGGAAATACATTTACAGCAACAAATATTGCAATAAAACTTCTAGTTCCAACGTATGGTTTACATCAAGGCTATTGTAGATGTTATTGTATTTACATTTTCGTAGAAAAGACTTGCAGGGTTTGTTGCAGCCAATTGGACCACAACAAACATTGCAAATCTTTGCATTAACAAAAAAAGGTACAAACTTAGACCACTTCATCAATTTAGTTGATTTTAACTTAAAAATATAGATCCTTTTACATTTCCAGAGAAACGAACACTTGATTGCAATGGAAATGCATTTCCTACAGCAAAAAAAATGCAAATCTAATGAGTTTCGCAACTAACAAAATGTTAGATTTGGATTTAAAAATACATCTACCACAATTAAAATGTAGACATCTAAACAACGGATTATGAATTTGAGGTAAATTTCCTACAAAAAATGTCACAAACATCATTTCCTGCTTGCAACATTTGCTGCAAATTACAATTGCAAAAAAAAAGCCCTAAACTTATCTTTATTATTAAAAACTAAAGCACATTGAGAGGCAATATAAACTTATTGATTGTCATTATAGCTAAAAAACAAAATAGGGACACATATTGTGTTAAAAGCAACAGACTCGCCATTTTTTTGGGTCAGTGGAATAAAATTTTCATGTACCTTGGGCATTAAATTACAGCCATAAGCACGAGCCTACCGAGCTTTTGACAGGAAATAAGGTGTACATCACTGCAAACATTCTCCACTTAGACAAAATTGGAGCTTGAGCTCCAGCAAAAAAAGCACAGCTCACTTTAGAGATTGCGCTCAACCCTGATACTTACTAGGGATACTTCTGTGCGACAATGCCATGAGGATTTGAACATTGATCATCTTAATAATACTACAGGGGTCCTTCTCACATCAGAGTGGACTCTGCTACTCCCTTGAAACCAAATAGTGTACACTGTTGTTGCCAGAGCCATTCTTTGCACCATCTTCTTATATCTGTCGCTCTCAAATTACTAGAAAACCAACACATCCACTGATACCAATCCACACTTTCTAGTTCTGAAGTTCATCGATTCCGTAATCACATTCCAAATCTCAGTCAACAATCCACAAGTAAAAAAACGGTGTTTATGATCATCAATGGGGGATGCATATAAACCACATGAATTTGATGAAGATATATGCATCTGGCACAATCTTACCATAGTTAGAAGACTCACCTTCTCCCCTAGGAGAACCACCCATATTTGCTTTCTCATTCATAGTACTTGTTCCAAGTCCTTGACTGTAGCTCTGAGAAAGCTTTTTCCAATGCAGGTTGGTTATTTTTTCATTGGAGCCTCCTGCTTCTCTAGACAAAAGCTATTCCCTGAGCAATTCTCAAAATGCTTCTCCTCATTTGCCGCTATCATGTTTAATGGAATAACATCAGATATAACATCCTTAAACCAATGAAAGACTCCTCATCAATAATATCCCCAGACTGCCAATTCTCAGGATTAATCATCTTCTAAAGTCTTAAGTTTTTGGCAGAAATTCTTGAATAAATTATTTACTATGAGTAATAAGTAACATATGGCTTAGGAGAAACTAAGATTTTAGTTTCAAACTTTCAAGAGTTCCGAAACAACTAGTGAGCAAGGAAATATTATTTGAGTACCAGAAATATCAAGAGGCAAGAACATAGCTTCCAATTCTTCAAGTATTTGGACCACAACAATAAGTAGTAAATTTACAAACACTTTTTATGCCTATTTGTTACTATCGTTATAACACAAATTTTTAGGGAGACCCAATTATCGAGCAGGATGGAAAAGTCAAGAGGAAAGATGATAGCTACCAATTCTTTCAAGTATTATATCGTAACAAACTAACAATTCATAGTAAATTCACAAACAATTGTTATACCTATTTGTATCACTATTTTCTCAACACAAAATTTACGGAGACATGGTACATGAAAGTAATCCATGGTCCACCACAAATATTCAAGGTTTTCATCCTACTTGCATATGAATCTAAGGATTATTTTTAATAGGTTACAGTTCAGTATCTTCTTGCCCTTGCATATTGTTCTTGAATACTTTCAGTAGAAAATGGTTAGAGCCTTCAAGAAAACTAGTTCTCTGAAGCAGTGTTTTAAATATCGGCCGCCATGTCGGACATGGCGGCCGATATGGCGGATTTATACCCTATCCGCCACGATATCCTTCATTTCAATGCGTATTGCGTTTCTGAGGTCATGTCGGGGACATGTCAGAAAATATCGGGTATGTCGGGTGCCATTGCGGCCAAGAAATATCGGCCAAATTTCAGAAAAAGCGGTTTTAAGCTTATTGGGTCAAGTTTGAAAAACCCGACTCGGAAATCAGGTGTCTACAATTGGTTAGTGATCTTAACATCAATAAGTTATGTACTTTTTCATATGTTTAGACAATATAATTATCATGTAAGTGAAGATTCTATTTATGATATTATATCAACCTATCCGATATGGCAATCCGATATTTTTTTTCATGTCCCCGATATATCCCCGATTTCCGCTATCCGACATGAATTTTGGCCAACCGACATGAACCCGACATCCGACATTTAAAACATTGCTCTGAAGACTTTAAGATATACACAAAGATGGGATGGGTGTTGAAGAGAGTTGTTCCTTCCAAATTTCATTTGCAATCTCTGATTTGGAACAGTTTTTCCAAATCAGAGATATATATACTTTTGTGCCAAAATGAGCCAAATGTACTTTGCCAAAATGAACCAAATGGTTTAGTCATAATGAAGGGTTAAGTTCATTAATGTCAAAAGCTCAGAGTGTTATCTTAGCCAAAGGGATAATGTAAAACTTTATGAAAAAAGAGGGTAGGCATTAATATTATTCTGAATTAACAAGATGGAATTAGGGAGAAGATTCTTCTAATTGCAGTAGTAGTATCTTGTGACCTCCAACATCACATGAAAGTGCCCACCTACAATGCAAGTTATTTTCGTTAATTAGGTGTGAGCAATTATGCCAAACAATGCAAGTTATTTTGTTAAGAATGTGATACTTCACTGAACTCAGGAGCTACTATGATTTCTAATTTCCTGCTATAAATAAACTTTCCAAAAAGACCTTTGAATGCATCTTTTATCAGACTACTCGTAATTCAGGACATGATACACAGAATTAGAGACCTACTATAGGCCTAATAAAGCACCTTCCTTGATGTTAAACAAACTTGACTATCTAGTTAATACAATATTTCTCTGTTAAAGTAAGTATCTAATTAAAATACCAAGAAATCTTTACATCATAACACTAGCACATATATGATTAAATCTAGAAATTCCATAATTAGGTTAGATATAGTACTAAAATTATCACTTGGGACAATTTCAAGAGATTCAAAATTCTAAAAGGTATCATCCACATGCTCAACTTTATCATAAAAAATTCATCATGTTCATGTATCCCTACTTAAAAACATAATTCTTAATTGCTTACATACCAGTATCCTCTTAAGCTTTAGAGATCCTCCCAATTCTTCACCTTCTCTTCCAGTTCCAGTTGATTTATATAATTCTATAATCATTACAAGAAGAAAAAACACAAACAAAAACTAAATTACATTGTTAAGAGAATCACAAGAACCTGAAATATCTCAAACTCTGATAAAGGTGTACCTGTTTCCTTGCCCTTGATCAAGTTGCCGACTCCTAATTCTTAATCATCCCCTTCTGTCTCCTTTTAAAAAAAAAATTCATTATCAGCGAAACTTTTAATCTTCTTCCTCAAAAATCTTACCTTGCCAATGATATTAGCAGTTGATGAATGAGTATGAGCTTCACGCCTTCGAGCATAAAAATACTGTCTAAAATTAGCAACCAAAACTTCTCAAACATGAACAACTTTGCAGCATGTCTGTAATTATTAAAAATCAACTCCACAAGTGCACTATCTGATACTTGGCTAGCAAGAATTTTCTCCCATTCCGTACTGAAAGAGATGTATCTAACCTGCCAAGGTTGAAGAACTCCTTTTATTAGACAAAGTATATTTTTTATCAGTCAGAGGGACAAGATATACATCAATTCACGCTCATCGATTGCACCTCCAAATTTCTCCATATCCTTAGAATGACATGATCTACCTTTCCTCTCCCCCACACTTATTGTAATATTAAAATTACCAGCAACAGACTTCAGAAAAGGAAGACTTTACATTTCTCAGTTCTTGACAAAAACTTGTCTCTCCTTCCTGTAATGAGGCCCATATACGGATGATAATTCCCACACCTCATGATTTGATACATCTTAAACATATTGCTCCACGACCTCTATAACTTTCCTCCATTTAGTACCATTCCAACCAATGAGTATACCTCCTGAAGCATAAATAAACAGCATACAAACCCAGTCTGTAAGAAGATATTCAGAACACACTATATCTGAAACATCTTCGAGCTTAGTTTCTTGCAAGCACAGTCTCACATTTATTGAAAATACAAAAAATCACTCACCGCATACTTCTCCTCATCCTCTGTAAGTCCCCTTATTGCAAGTTCTAATCATAATGATTTCTGAAAAACTAACACCCAACCCAAAACAACCTTATTATTGTCCCTATCTCCATGTTTAATGATATCAATTGAACTGGGGGCTGTTTGGTTGACAGGAAATAGATTTACAGCCACAAGTATTGCAACAAAATTTCTATTTCCAGCATTGGTTCGCAACAAGGTT